CACCCTTGCTCTGTAATTGCTGTACGTTCCGGTGTTCCAGTTTCCAAGCGTGATGAAATCGTGGAAATTAAAAAGTAAATTAAAAGGAAAAGATTTTCTAGATACGGAATATACGGAACCTAATAGCATCGTAGAGAGACGGGAATTGTAGCGTTATGCTCAATAATGCGCAGCTTTCTCCCGTGTGATTGTCTAGAATAAATAGTCTTTTAATAATAATAATAATATAAGTTCTTGTATAGTGCGTCCTAAACTCGAGGCGCTTTACAATAAACTAATTTATGTATATGATATAAATACTTATTTTTATATAAGAAATATAAAAATGATGTAAGAATTTAAGATATATCAACAGTATAAAATTAATATAGAATTAAATGTCAACAGTGTGTATTTGCAAAAAGATATGTTTTAAAAGATTTTTTAAAGTTTCTAAAGATTCAGATTTTTTCACCTCTTCTGGTAAAGAGTTCAATAATTTTGGGGCAGCAACGGAGAAAGCAGAGTCACCACAGTAAGAAGTGTTCGTAGCAGGAACGATTAACAAATTATGACGTGAAGATCTGAGGGCACGTCGCGGTTGTCTCTGCTTCAAGGGCTTCTTTCCAAATTCCCTTTCCTTTTAGCTCCTCTTAATATGGCGATATCTTAAATTTTATTTAGAGTCCGCTCTAGTACGATGAATTTAAATTGTCATACCGAAAATAATGCATAACAAAAACGAATTATGTTCGAATTAATTCTTTCCAACAGGACCTTGTCAAAAATTCAGGATTGAAGCTAAGRCAACTGGCTCTGGTAAGCTAAAATACTCCTGGGCAGCGTACTTCTCTAATAAAACCGCAGCGATTTCTGCCAATCACCAAGCAGACATGAGAAAACTGAAGGAATTCCTGTCTAAGATGAAAAAAGCTTCCTTAGTAATTCACAAGCAGCTTGTTTTGCCGAACGTTAACTACGAATTAGAGGTAATCGTGACAGACACCTCTAAGCAGCAAGGAAAGGCTGTGGTTTCTCTAACTAGAGATGACAGCAAGGCTCCTCGCATCTTTATTGCTGGAAATAAGATTAGAAAGGTGYCTGCGAACATTCCATTGAGGTTCAAAGGTGAGTAATGGACTAGTGTGGACTGCTTAAGTGTATTTTCCTTACAAATATCCATCTAACTTTACTAAGGTTTCTGGAACCTGAAATCCCTCGCTGGCCGAAAAAAGAACACTCGAAGGCAAATTTTCACGGGTGTCTCCGTTCTCTGATATAAACAGGGCAGCGAGTCATAAAATTACGATATAGATGATATACCTGTAAATTGCCACGAAGAAACGTTAACTTGCTGAACTGCTTCGATTTATCTTTCTTTACAGCAATTATTGCTGGTTCTTCCCAGTGCCATCGGGTATCAGCACGTGACAAAGCGGTTCTGTACACGTGGAGCTGTAGTTCAAGCAGTGTGGAAATAGAGAAATTCGATTTGCAAAGTTTGTTCATCAGAAGAAATCAATTGCGTCCTGGAAAGGTATGTTGCAAAGCACGACAAAAAATACACCTTGATTATTAAAGCGCCACCCATGTCATTAATGATAGAACAAAAGGTTTTTGCATGCGGAGAAAAGAGTTTTTTTCTATGATTTTTTGGCTTTCTTCACCGCTATAGCTCTGTAGATGTCACAACTTTGCCACCAGGTGACAACGAAAAACAGTTCTTGTCTTGCTTTGCGTGATGAAATACTTAAGAAAACGTTTAACCCCCTACAATATGTTTTTTACCATTCCGTAGCAATATGTGTTTGAGATTATGGCATGCCTGGCCAACGACCAGAGTCAGTGTTCAAGGGCATCAGTGACTGTTGTTACAGAAAGCAGGCCATTGGAATGCAAAATAAAAGGTAACCAATACAAACAAATGAGAAACATTTTAAAGACATATGAAAGCCGTGTTGAATAAAAATGCCAAAGAAAGAACTTTAGTTTAGCTGACCTCCTGTGACCGCTGTGACCTCCTGTGACCTTCTGTGACCTCCGGTGACCCCTACACAATGGGTGGCAGTCAAAACTGAACTGAGATATTTGCATTGTAAATTTCTTGGGTAGTTAAGTGATTGGTAGTCATCTGGAGAGTTTAAATGAAAAATGTTTTTGTGGCAGTAGCCCTGGTAGGTGGTCTAAGAACAGTAGATACTTTTTTTGTTTTGCCTGCCCTTTCGTAGAACAGAAAATTGAATTAAATGTTTTGTGTTGTCCGGCCTTTAAGGCACCCTTGTTGAGAGACAGTGAATACCAATAAGAATCAAAAAGAATTTTGTTGGCAGTGACAATAGAGACTTTGCACCATCTCGTGATGGCATCCATGACAGGAGGCAATCCCTGGAAAACTGAATCTTTTCTCGTCATGTAGAACAGGTTAGACCAGATTCAATTGTTCCTGCTTCCTCTCATGGCTGCCATGATGGTGATAGTGATGGTGCAAAGCCTTTATAATCTATTTGCACCTTTATTTCCAAGGCGGGAAAACACGTTCAATTGGTGAACATGATCTATTGACGCTTGACGGTAGAGCATCCAAGGACCCTGATGCAGACCCCAAGGAGATGAAATACTCGTGGTCATGCGAAGATCCTGAAGGCTACACCTGTTTCTATCCAAACAAGACCAATCCTAATGAACTTATTCGTCTTGACATTCCTGATGAACCGGTTGTTCGCATAAACACTACAGAACAGCTTCCACAAGTGAATGGCACGTGAGTATGCTTGTGGGGGGGGGGGGGGGGGGGAAGCACCGGTTATATAGTGTACTTCCTGTTTTTGCGGCGCGTGGTCGTTTTAGTTCACGCAATTCTTTGTGAAACATTTAAGAAAATAAGTAGAACCTAATATTGTTTCTATTGAAGCTATAAGCTTACAAACTTAGTATAAGAAAAAGGAATATCTTAATTCGCGCGTAGTTTAGTTCCTAGTCATTCCTCTCATTTTAGAACTCACATCATTGTCTTTTTTTCCCCATTTTTTAATGAAATATGAATAGATTCGTATTATTATATATTCGTGCTATTAAAGGTACAAATTTACCTTGACTGGGAGCAAAAGAAACATTTAAAAAAAGTAGTCTTGCGCAGTGTAGTTCTGCGTACAGCATCCCTCAATTTTAGATCGCATATTATGGTTTTGAGTACTACTTTTCTACTAAAAAATGTCTAGCTTGATAATGTTGCTGGTATTGAAATTACAACCTCGGTCTAACTTTATTAAGTGGTTCAACTTTAATAAACAAGTTTATCAAGCAGCTTTGCGCAATGTGCTTTTGAAGGCAGAATATCCCCATCGTACATCACATATCGCTTTCTGAGGCATTTTTTTCCTATGGTAAAAAAAGCTATGCTAATAATATTGCTGCTGTTTAAGGTACAAATTCACTTTGACTGTAAGCAAAGGGAATCGTTCAAGCATAAGAGAAACCAAGATCAAAGTAAAACGAGGATCGCCCCCAAAGACCAAATTGTTCGATATCAAGAACGCAAACCCAGACAAAAAGATCGTGGTTCGTGGCCAGGTTCAAAGTAAAGCACCTGTCACCCAGTACGAGTTCTCAATAGTAGAGGAAAGCCAAGAAGGTATYATGTAGATCTATACATAGCTCATAAGTTTGACGTAAATCATATGGAGAAACGACCTCCTGGTGCAAAAACAAATAGCAGTTCTAAAATGGTTTTTCTTACTTTTTCTTCATGACAGGTTTTGGTGTTCAAAGTTCTAACTGTTTTAAGTGAAGGCTAAACAGTTGCCAACAATTTTGGCTATATTTTAACAGTTTTATAATCAGCTGTTGGACACGGAAAAACGTCCCAAACTAAGGCTGCGTTCATAATGTATGGCAGGGGGGGGGGGGGCAGGTGAAATTGGGGGGGAATCGGAAAAATTTTGGTAGGAAAAAGGGGGGACGGGCAAATTTTTGCACAAATTTTGGAAGAAACTACAAGCCTTGCTTAGGGGGGATCATATTTTTTTGCATAACTTTAAGGGGGGTGTTAAGAATTATTCTGGGCATTTCAAATTTTCAATTGCCCCACCGCCCTGCCATAGTTATGAACGCAGCCTAAAAGCTTTTTATCTTTGCATTGGTGTGGGCCCTTTTAAAACTTCTTCTTTTTCTTTCTTCTTACTTTGATTAACTTTCTCACAACAATTGATTATTTTCCAGGATATGCGTATGTTGATTTAGAAGAAGAGCAGGATGTAGTCAAGTCTAAAATAAAAGGCGAAGTAAAGAGAACAAACCCTAGAAAACCAGCCCGTAAAAACGTTTATTTGGTGTTCAACCCAGGGAAGCTTGCTGAAAACGCCACCTATAAGATACGACTCACTGCAACCTACGATAACGTAACATCATATGCCGAAGCAGACCTGAAGACTAAAGCAACACCAAATCAAGGTTAGAACTGAAATGAAAACAATAGAAAATAAGGGAAAGGAAAGAAATTAAGGATAAATAGACAAACATTACTGTTAATGATTTACCAGTGATTATGCTCGTATCACATAACCGTAATCKGATAGTTTGATTTGGGTGATAAGTTGATGTAGCGTGCCGAAGGAAAGTTAAACTAAGAAAGAAGCTCCTTAGAATATTAACTAATTTGCTATCCGGCCAAGTAGCACAGAGGTATGTAACTCATATTATATTTAGTTCTCCTACAAGAAATTATCAATATTATTATTCTTCAGCATAAACTGCCTATAGTTGGCTGAGCATTCATTTCTAAGTATCGCTAGACCACGTGTTGCATAATCATTCCCTAATCAAGCACATTTTTTCTATTTGTAAGCGGTTTTTAACTAATACAGATATACCTTATTGTATTTTACCCAGTCTTTACGTGATTCTAATAAATGCAGTGATTGAATGATGGAATCCCAGTGAGTGATTTGCTGTCGTAACACGGCCGACCCGGGGAAACTCGAAAGATTGCCCCAGCCGTAACAATTACAGTAGGGGGAAAGTATATAGAAGTACCAAAAAATTATGATAATGGTGAGGATGACGATGATTATGATAATGATGGTGGTGGTGATGGTGATGGTGATGGTGATGGTGATGGTGATGGTGATGGTGGTGGTGATGGTGATGGTGATGGTGATGGTGGTGGTGATGGTGATGGTGGTGGTGATGGTGATGGTGATGGCGATGATGATAATGTTGATGATGGTGATGGTGATGGTGATGATGATAATGATAATGATGGCGATGATGGTGATGATGAAGATGATGATGATGATGATGATTATTATTATTATTATTGTCATAAATAAACTTAATCTAATACTTGGAAGTCAAAACTACCAATCAGCGCATGCCCCATTTTAAGACAGGATCATCAAACCACGAAAAATTTACAGAAACTAAGTACTCGACTACGATAAACTCCCGAACAAGAAATTTATAAACCGATTTAATCCATGTTTTTACTGCATCCTCCTTTGCTTCTTGCATGGTAGTATACTAAATGATATTTGCTTTTCTAGATTTCTTTCTCCTCTAACCAACCTTTTATAGTCAGTCATGATAAAAAATCGTAACGAAGCATATTGCAAGTTTGTTGGTTCTCTATCGTTCCTCGTGGGATTTTCCGGATTCTTTGATGTTCCTCCCTCCGCAAAATAAAAACAACTTCTAAATTCCAATTCCATCTTAGGTGATATTCACGATCTCCTTTTGCAATACGATTCGAATAAATTGGATATATTACATATGTTTTTTTCTTGCAGGTGAAGTGCTGATTGAACCATCAGAAGGTGTTGCTGCCAATACTACTTTCACGATCAGTGCTGGTGACGGGTGGAGCGTAGCTGAGGAAGACGGGCCACTAGTCTATCGGTGTGGATGCGTTATCACCAATCGTCGTGGAAGAAAAAGACCGAAGTACTTTGTGGAATTCTCAGAAAAAGACTCTTGTGAAACCACGCTGCCACCAGGTAATAATGAACCATGATTAAAATATCCTGGGTTTCTAGATTATTCTTGATTACAAACTCATCTACGCAGGGTTGGAATCGTTATGGCATCAAACTAATGATAATGATTTAATGATAATGATGTATGATTTATATAGCGCCTTTTCTATTGAGATATAGGAAAAGGCGCTTTACTTTGAGTTTTGAATATAAGATTACTTTTTAAGCAATTTACAATCATGAGAGATGGTTAGTATGAAGTGTAGGCACTGAGGGTGGTCACTGCAAGGGTTTCTTTACCTCTTCAGTTGTTCTTTTACGTCCCTACGATAGCGACCTTGAACGGGAGAAAATCGGCCTAGAAACTATATGGGATCGATCGACGGTCGACGTCAGACCCCGGAAGTTCCTTGATTCTAATGTGGTCGATCTGTAAATGGCTGTTGTCTATAGCTGTAGCCGTGGAAGACATGAAATTGCTAAATATCGCATCTTGATCATGAGGAGAACGCCATATCTACGTTCTTTGTTCAAACAAATGTCGATCGAGTGACAGAGAAGGAAAGTTTAGAAAATTTAGTCGAGTAGCCACTTAAGAAACGAGTTTATTATTAGCGATATACCAAATGAGATTGATAATAATACAACATTTGTAATATTCCAAATTCATTCCCAGGTGACAAAGTTAACAATCACACTTTGAAGTGTTTCATCCAAGCATGTGATGTACATGGATCTTGCTCAAGAGAAGAACAGGATGTCGTTGTTGCTCCGAAGAAATTTGATGCTGATGACATCGCTAAGGCTAAAGAAGAGCTTTTAGAAAGATTTGCTCAAGGAGACTTGTCAAGTGCTACAAGTGAGTTATCAGTCATCAGTAGGCTGATTAAGATTCCCGTTTTTGCTCCCCACAAACGACAAACGTGACAACGTTTTCATCGTTTCCCTACATTTCACTTTACCTTTTACAAACCTTCTCGCCAAAGACAAGTATTCTTTTGTTTGGTTACCACTTGGAGATTTTCGCGATTCCTTTTCACTAATTTGAAAGAATTTTTTAATGGACGTTTCACGTTTGCCGTAAACGAGAATCTTAAGCTCTCTAATATTGTTGGCTGGGGCGGTGCGGCCGGTCTGGATATTTTGAAATTTTTGTTTCTATTGTTGTGGATGTTGTGCGTGTCATTATTGTCGTTGTAGTGGTGATCAGAAGATTGTATTTATTGATGATGTGTTAAAATTGTGTTTGACATTTGAAAGGGGACCACTTGAACAACATTGAAGATAATAAAAAAATAGGTCCTTGGAGTGAGCATAATCAGTATCATATTGACCTTAGAAAACCACAATATTTCATTCCCGTGGTATTCTTTTAGATATCTACACTTTGTTGCTTGCTTCTGCTTCAAGTTTGACTTCAAGTTTTTATTCCTTTGATGTCACCCTGTATTGATTGGTTAACTTTCTTTAAGTGGTCCCATTTACTGAGTGTGTATTCACACAGTATTAGTTTCTTACGCAGCCGCTATTAGTGTCGTCACGGGGAGTGAGCGTTGTGTGACGACACTAATAGCGGCTGCGTAGGAGACTAACACAGTAGCTGACTCCTTTATTTTGTTTTGTTATCGTATCGTATTTGCTTATCGAGGTGTTAGTGGCAATACTCACAAACGTAGTTAGGTGTGTGTCGTTTGCGCATTTCAAAAATGGACGGCTTTATGGTTTCAAGTGCGACAGACATGCGTCTATTCTAAAGTCCTCAGGCATATTTTCGATAGATGCACGCATTTCTTTATTACAAACAATCCACGTACTCAAAATACAATGGCTTTCTTGATAACCTCTCGTAATCCACCCAGGCAAAAATGAGCGCTCGTATAAGCTATCTGCTGAACGGAACATGTTCTATTTCGCGTTATTAAACTTAGAGTCATTTAATATGACGATGGAAAAAACACATAGTTTACGACATAACTTTTAAAGGAATAACCGTGTGCGAGATCACTGCTAGAACACAAATCAAAATCCTTTTACGAAGGTTACGATAAGGTCCTACCGTAATATGCAGTCGCGTTGGCCTTTAATAGTTTGAGATTGGACGTCCGTAGCAACAGAATCAACGCGAAACTCTTTTGGGAATCTGTCGTTCTGAATAATTTTTTCTTGGTCCCAGGTGCTATGTCATCCTTGCTATTGTCAGTGCAAAATAGAAACAAAAGCAGTGAAGAAGGTGAAGAAGAAGACGACGAAGTAAAGAAAGCCATAGAAAATGTCATCCAGACAGTCATTGATAAGGTACCGTAGGCAACGCTGTTTAGTAATTCTTGTATATTGTCTTATTTGTTTTCGGTTTATTTAGTAAGTTATTGATCAAGGCAGCAACAATATTAAGTTAAGTGTTTAGAATGATTAGACTTTACCCTATATTGCATGAATGTGTAGATGGGGTTTAGCAGTTAACTTATAATTGATCTAAGAAATTTGTCGGTTAACTGACAATCAGCTACCCCCGTGCATACCCGTTTGTATTGAAACGTAGGAACCTTGACTATTCTCGATAATACCAGCTGGCTGCTTCCCCCACAGGTAGCCCAAGCCAGGTTTCTTTAGTGTCATGTTATAAGATTTCGTATGATGTAATCTACCATGCCGCCTACAGCAAGGTGGAAGCACAGGTAGCCCAAGCTAGGTTTCAGTGTTGTCAACACAGAAACCTAGCTTCTCAAGCATAAAAGGCTTGGTATTTTAATGGATCGCTGAATACTAAGTTTGTGCAATAACTCTATCAATCTTAAATCTATGAAATTGAGTTTTGGGGCTAAAATCATAATTGGGTTTTTCGAAATTTTAAGCATGGTCACGTCGACTCCCGGTGGTCACGTGACCTCAAGGCGAGAAAAATAGGAATTTCAAAATGGGCTGGCGGTTTTTATGTGACTCGAATTTTTTTWAATATGGAATTGTTAAGTACAATAATCTTAACAAGAATTTGTCCGGAATAGTTGAAATTCATTCTTAGTTAAGACAGACAATAGAAATATTCAATATTTTGACTCGGTCACGTGATCTTTTTAGTCAATTTCGGACTTTCCTTTTGCCTATGCTTACTCATCGTATTGATAAAAGGAAAAAACACCGTAAAACCAAGAAGTAATATGGATTTTAAACAAGACTAAGGAAATTGATATCACACTCCAGTTTCGGATTCTCCGTTGCATAGGGTTAGTCTCCATTCTGTATAGATTATTCATGCGTTCCGATCCAGTATTGTTGAAGTTGTGCATTCTCTACCTATGGTATTTGTGAATATTGGGAGACTAAAATGGGGCTATCCCTGTAAAAATGAGTGTGTGATTGATAAACACAGCGGTAGTGTTCAGTTGACTAATTCCAAAACGGTCCATTAGGTTATGGATTCAAATGAAAATGGAGAAACGCAAAGTGAAGATGAGGAGGACCTGGTACTTGATACTCTCGCCCAAACTGTTGAGGCCGCACAAGACGAAACGCTGAACGCAGAAGGAAGATCAAAGAGAATAGGTGAAAACGTCCACGAAATGAATGATGCGAGGGAATTGGAAGTTGAAAAGACAAGTAGACGCAAAAGAAGAGCAGTCAGTGAAAAGAACCCAGACGTAGAAACAAAGACCCCAGAACAGGTACGTCAAACTAAATAATAACAAACGATTGTAAGTAAACACATTCAACACTACGAACACACTTGTACACTATACCGTTATATGTTAATTATCCTTTGCGTGACGCTTTCAACTCAGATGTTGGATTTGAAGGAGAACCCGGCAAAAAACGTTCACGAGAAGAGAGAGATTAGCGCGCATCCAACAAAGTTTATATTGGACTACTTCGACGATATGGCGGCCATCTTGCCAGGGGGAAACACAAAACAAGTATGACGGAAAATATATAGAGTTTCGTGTGTTTGTCTTTCTTTTTTGGGGTAAAGGCGATCAATGTACCGCCTTAATTCTTATTTGTTGTATTATCTTGTGGTTAGCTGTAGGTATCGAACGACGACGTTATTGTTGCAAAGCTTCATTTGCCCCCTGGAAGCCCGATAATGTATGCGATCCAAGGTGGCGCGGCATCGTCGAAATAGTCCATTCACATGCTGCATCCGCAGGAATTAAAACAGTATAGTAACCCGTCCCGTAGGACACAATTTTGATTTGTTCGTTTTTAGCAATTTCCATTGGCGTGGTAGGATTTAGAAACAGGAAAGTCCTGAGAGTAAAGGTGTATATGGGGTTTCACAGTTAACTGACAATTGGCCTAAAAGTTAAACTTGACTAAAAACCTAAAAATGATAACTGAATAACTGTTACTTGTAAAATGAATGGTTAGCTCAGTTGGTAAGATCGTCGGTCTGTTGTGCGGAAGGTCGTGGTTTGAGCCTCGGCCGGACCAACACTCAGTGTCTTAACATAACTGTGGAGAAGGTGCTGCCTTTGTAATTGTATCTGCAAATGGTTAGACCTTCAAGTCTTCTCGGACAAGGACTTAAAACCGTAGGCCCCGTCTGTCTTCAGTATTTAACCCTGTATAAGGCGGACGTAAAAGATCCACTGAAGACGCTGGTGACGACCACCTTCTGTACCCGTGCTAACCGGCTGCCTTATCAATTGGGCCGCAAGGCCTGTTAGGCATCAAGCCGTCCACCCAAGAGTGGTAAACGCATTAGAGGGGGTGGATTGGTTTTTAGGGAACCCCAATCCAAACCTCCAGATAGTGATAGTTTACTAGATAAATATTTTGACTCGTGGAATGACTTGTTCACAAACAGGTGGAACAAACCCTCAGCATCTTCAGTAGAATCATTCAGCCATCGAATTTCTCCAACGATTCAATGACAGTCAAAGAGCAGTTCCTAGATCTTCTCGATGAACTTGGTCGATCAATGTGCAAAGGCCTGTCTACTGGAGAAACACCATTGACAGCCGAGTCAAATACCACTGTCTTGCGAAGCGAGAAAAATTCCTTTGAGCACGTGCATACAGTCTACAGTAGGATTGGTTGTGATAACTGTAGCTTGTATGATTCTAAAATTGCGGAAGTACTCTTGGGAAAATCTTTGAAGGATATGTATGGAAACTGGGACTGCAATGAAGACGGTTGCAATGGGGCATGCGTAGTATCTGCTCAGGTCTGTTATTTACCTGTTTATCTAATTTTTTTCTTTTTCTTGTTTTTCTTTCTTTCTTTTTTCTTTTTTTGCTTAGTATCATCGTTGTTGTTTATATATTTATTTGTTTATTTAAGTTTGTTTTCACTTGTTTTTATTTTACACAACACAACCGGAACGTGTCTATTTGTTGTCTCTTCTTTTTTTGGTTTGTTTGTTTTTGCAAGAAACGACACTCTCTTCATTTGAACTCTTGCTATTCCTTTGAGTATTGGTTTTTCATTCGCCTACAATGCTAGATAAGAGTAGTTATTAAATATACATGCAACACAGCCAAACAGAATTCTAAAAATGAAATTCAAATCAGAATTTAAAAAGGTACTTCATTTAATGTTGACCTACGTTTTCCTTGTTGTAGATGTCAGATGATTTGCTGATCAGGTCTCTCAACGAAAACAGATCACTTGTCAGTGACGTCGTCTACGTTAAGCTTTTCAACCCAGAAACTTTGGTTGCTATGACGATCCCTGAGCTGGCCGAGCCCATAAGTTTTGACATTCCCCTAATCAACGTCACGGATGCTCAATCCTCTAAAATCAAGGTAATAATATTTAAAAAAATGTAAAATCATGGAAACTTTCTATTTTATTGGACTTACTAGTTTTTGTATTTAATGCACGATTTTTTTAGTCGATAGTTATCGGTGTGAATTGCAATGCGCAGAATACTGCGCTATGATGTGTACATATCTATTATATTTCAGTAGAGTCTCGATTATTACCTTTCCGAGGTTGAAGGAAAAAACTTGGTGGAGATTGAATTGCAGTGCATTCTTGGGGCTATCTTAGGGGACGAAATAGCCGCCATCTTGGAAATATGTCCCGTGAAATTTAACAGCCCCAAAATGCACTGCAATGCAAACTCGACCCAGGTTTTCCTCAACCCCTGAACAGTTGATAGGCTCCCACATCGACAAGCGCAAAGATATGGGTTTAGTTTCTAGAGCAATGCTCTCTTAACGGGTCAAGATTAAAGTTGCATACTATACTTGGTCATAGCTAAGGAGTTTGTCTTACATAGTGTCCCACTAACCTCTCACTTAATGCAATGACAAAGGGAAGTATCGTATATAATAGCCARTCTTTCTCAATATATACTTAAATTTGAATAGTCCTTGAGCTAGTGTATCGTTTCTTAATAATTACAGTGTCACCAATGGGATGCATCATCATCGTCATGGACGACTACAGACGTTACGACAAATGCTATGGTTGCAGAAAAAAGCCAGATTTCCATTAACTGCACATCAAGTCGTTTAGGGTTCTTCGCCGTATTTGATTTGAGTCCAAAACAGAGTCAATCTTCTTCTACTGCTAGTCCAACAACAAGCAAAACCAGTCCGACCACGACCTTGGGTCCGACTACAGCGACATCAAGCGACACTGCAACGACACCAACCGACACCGCATCGACATCAAGCAATACCACAGCCACACCAAGCGACAATGCAGCCATACCAAGCGACACCGCAGCGATAACAAGTCATACTGGGGRACCTTCTGTGACCTCAAAAAATGATCAGCAAACAGAAATACAGTTCTCCTTRGATGCAAGGTAAGATATAGTATACTGTAGAATACTCAACACAGCTTAAAGAATAATAATGAATGTATATACTAAAGAAGAATATGGCCTCAATTGATTGATATCGACACTTTGTACAGTACGGTACACACGCTTTTATCCCTGTCGTAGCTGCAGAATTGCGTGATACGCTCACTSTATTCTCCTCAAGGTATATTTTTACAGTCTAAATTTCGGTTCGATCTTACGATGCTCTTCACTGTCGTTTGCTAAGATTTCGATGGAATTGATGAGGTTGTTGCAGAGGTTCACAACTAGCAATTAATAAATGGTACACACTAGTCAGACGTTAGTAAGTTACATTACATGGCGATAATAAGGGTCTTAAGCGGGCGCAAAAAAAACTTACATTTTGTCCCTTCTGCCTTGCTACATAAAATGACGTTTTCTCAACGCTTTTACTCGAACAGGTGTTCCCGGGAACTCGTCCCAGWCCCACTAGAGCGTGTTTAGCCGCAGAAATACAATTATTACGTTTTCATTGATCAAACCACTTTTAGAAACGTTTAGGGCTACTATAGTTATTATTATTATTTTCATTATCATGCTACTACTTCTCATTGTTACATAGCTTCAACGATGTCATCAACGACAACAATAAAGCCTCTTTCATCGCAACGTTAAAAAGCAGAATTGCATCACAGCTTGGCGTCGACCAATCACGTATCAGCAATCTCTCAGTCCGTCCAGGTAGCATTATCGTACAATTTATCCTGCTGCCTGGTGGGAATGGGCAACAAAGCGTCCAAAATCTGGCCGAGAGCTTGAGAAACCTGGTGCAGAGTGGTAACTTCACCGTCATTCTGTCGGATGGACAAAGATTGGATGTTGTCCGCAGTTCCTTTTTGGTAAGAGATTAAAATCTAGAATAATAAGGTAATTTTTCTCGAGGCCGTAATAGTGTTAGCTGAAGAGCCTTTAGGCTTGAGCCCTTCGGTATCGGCTTTCACTCGAGCTCATGAAAGATTTTCCTGCATGTCTAGAAGATTTGAAGACCAATGAAAAGGAAATTCACTAAAAAAATTTACCCACTTACTAGATTTGCTTTGTAGCCTCAAATGAGTTTGTTTAGTTATCGGTTTTTGTTGTTGTTGTTGTTGCTGCTGTTGTTGTTTTTGTTGTTGTTGTTGTTGTTGTTTTTGACAATAAACTTTTTAGGCCTTGTCTACGTTTGTTATTAGCTCATATGCGTGTCTCAGTCTCTTAAGAGCCAGGCCAAATTTTGTCTTTCGACACTCCAACTAAGACAATATCTGTTACAACAATATTTTGCGCCATATATTCATTTAGCAGGACTAGCATTGATGGGTTGCAAGCATTCCCAAGAGATTTAAAAGACAAAACATGGCGGCCATTGTGGTGCCGTTAACAATAGATGCTAACGAGAAATCTTTTGTTAAATGGCACCAACATGGCCGCGATGACGTACTTAGTCTCTCCTAACTATAATAATGTTTTACTTTATCTCTATAGCAAGGGTTCAACAGCATCCCATCTATCACTCCTCCTCCATCAACTGTCACTTCTACTAACTCTAATCAAGTCAAGAAGTCAGGACTCAGTCAGACTACGCTTATCGCAATTATTGTGGCAGGATCTGTGGTTGCCTTGACAATACTTGCCGTGGTGCTGTTTTACTGTTTGAGGAAGAAGGACCAGAATCAGAAGGTAAAGGCCATAGAAGAAGAAGAAGAAGAAAGCTGGGTAGAACCAATAAATACCGAGGAAGTAAAAGGACATATTCCTATGAAAGGTAAGTAAAGATGTTCATGGCGCGGTATCCCTGTGGCATACCATGCCAAATAAGAGATCAGGAGTCTGTCATTGAAGTTGGTTTTCAAGTCACATAGTCAAGTGTGAAAATTTTTAAAGGCTTCTTTCTTCTGAAAAAATTAAAGAATTGAACTGAAAGCGCTTTATCAAATGGTCAAAAGACAAATCAAGATGCGAGTATGTGGAATAGGATCTTTGATATCATGCTCAGACTTTTTCAGAAGAAAGAAACCTTTGGGTAAAATAGCGCGTTCAAAATGACCAATTTAGTGCATCTGCTTCGTAATGCTGTAAGTGTACATGCGCAAGATTTTTTTTTTTCTTTTGGATAAACCAAGAAGTTTAGGGCTTTATACTTAGGGGAAATAATTTTTCTTTCTCTCTCTCTCTCTCTCTCTCTCTTTCAAATTTATAGTCGGAACAACCTTTTTTTTTTAATAATGTTCCAATCCATCATGAAAGAAGGAATTAGATTTTAAAAAAGCTGCATAAAAATAATCATTGTAAATTCCAGGTATTGACAATGAAGGACACTTGGTCGAGGAAGGTACGTCAAGCCAYAAGTGATTTTCACTGAACCATATCAGTAATGTTATGCTTGCGAGAGCATTTTCATCAAAATTTCAAAACCTTGGACCACCATAATTCATTATTCGACTGATCCCTTTTGGAAAAAWTTTTTTTTACATTAATTATCCTCTTCATATTTGCAATACTCCCATTTCGAGTTCGCCTCTGCTAAGTCTAGCCTCCATTGTGTACAAATGTGTTCTTTTCTTTTACTAAAAATTTATGTACTATGGAACAATATACAAGTTAATTAAGGTTCCACGGGTTTTAGTTGAATGACTGAATATTATAACGCACAGCTGAAGCTAAGCCTGATGAAAGGAGAACTCGAAGCGGGAGTATTAAGAATGCACTTTTATTTTGGGCGACACTCTATTGTTCACGACACATATTCATTGCTACTTGTCAACGATCCGTTTTAAAAAGATTAACACATATCAATTGAAACTTTAAWATATTATCAGTCATACATGCCACCAGTTATCAACACTTTATWATCCACCATCATCATCACTGGTCGCACTTCTGTTAATTACTAACAGCACCAGCATGAAAGTGGATCTGGGAAGAAAAAAACAACACACGTAACTTTTTTAGTGTTTTTGTTTCGATAATCCTTTTGGTAACTTTATTGCTGAATTGCATGACCAGCTACACATCCATAACAGTGCAACCATTGCGATGCATTATTGTTGTCTGCAGCGTAATTGTTTTCYAACACTGCTTGGCGCTAATATTAGCTAGCCAACAACTACCAACGAAGTTGAAACCCCCTCCGTTGGTAGGGCCTTGCTAAATGGTTCATATACATCGTCGCTGGAAGTCATATTAATTTTAGTCAACGTCGTATTTGACAATTGGTCCTCTTGCTATCTTGTACCCATATTGTTTTATGGAGTAATACCTACGAATCTGTGTAAACTATTGTTTGTTCCAGTCACATCACATGAGTACGCGTACGGACTTCGGAATCATATCTTACAGCTACTTAGAATAGGCTTCTATCGATACATTATCTGGCTGACAAAATTACTAACCTCGTAGTGCGGATACTGGTATATATTTGTACCAGACATCGTCATCTTCCATTTAACTTCAATCATTCAACCCTCACTGTCATCAAACCCTAGCTTGGAACAACCCCTGTGTTGATCTAAGTCAGGCAGCACACATAAAGCACGGCAGTTTGAGTCCTTAAAACTTCCTTTGGGCTGATCTAAGTCAAGGCACGGCTAACTCACAGATTGTACCCTGAAACAACCTTTGGGCTGATCTAAGTCAGGGCACGCCTAACTCACAGATAGAACCCTGAAACAACCTCTGGGCTGATCTAAGCCAGGGCACGGCTAACTCACAGATAGAACCCTGAAACAACCTCTGGGTTGTTCTAAGCCAGGGCACGGCTAACTCACAGATAGAACCCTNTCTAAGCCAGGGCACGGCTAACTCACAGATAGAACCCTGAAACAACCTCTGGGTTGTTCTAAGCCAGGGCACGGCTAACTCACAGATAGAACCCTAAAACAACCTCTTGGCTGACCTATGTCAGGGCATACCAAGCTCACAGGTCAATATAGAAATTAGCGTTTTCGCGGAGGGAGAAGCATGTGAACCATTCGCATTAGCAACATCTCAGTTTGTATGGCCGCAATCTCCAACCAATATCAAAATAGTTTATATTATTAACAATAATTAAATATACGTTTTTTTATCTTGCTAGCAGTGGAACCCAGGCCCTCCCTTCCTGGTACGCCTAGTTATGATCACGACTGAAGCACAATGRGTCAGCACTTGAATTGCTTTTTATAAACACAACCAAGAATGATATGCTTTGCAGCTAATTCACGCACTGCAGACACTACAGGAGGTAGAAGAGAAAGTTCACTCTACAGCAAAACTAGGTGTAAAATATAATCACAAGTACCATCCCCTTGCATGTGACGTCAAAGCAGAAAGAATTCCAATCTCCTGAGAAATGATTTGTCCCCCAGATTGAGCTGCATTCCGAAGTGCTGCAAGGGTCTATAAACTAAAAGGAAAGCACTAGCACGAGTATTACAAGTATTTATTTCTAATTACATCGTTAGTTAAAAGTAATAATGAGCTAACATTTATGATCGACGCAAAAACAAATTTTGCCCAATTCATTTTAATTTCAAAAATGCAAGTGTACAAACTACAAAGACCAAAGTCCTAAACGTAAGAGTGAAGATTTCTTCCTATATTGATTGAATTACTATTCATAACCCCCTCATATAGTTATGCTTTGCTTTTGACTGGATACTTGTATTACTTGGTTGGAATACTATTTTATCCAATCACAGTGGTTTCACTTACTTAGTGATATTGCCGTTTTTGTTCTTGTCACTGCAAGTCAAGGCTGCTGCAACGATTTTTTTGCATCATCTTCACATCACGTATGATAATGCACAGCGATGCTTACCATTTACCAGGGAAAACCAGAAATTCCGGTCTTCGGTCTTTCGATTGAGGTAATCTACTTTTCCCGCTCTTTTTAGTTCTTCCGGTAGACGCGTGCAACATTTGTAACGCAAATTTTCCCGCTCTTTTCTAAACATTAACAAATGAAATTCCAACCGGATGGATTGGTTTAAATGGTAAGCAACCTAAGAAGGCAATTGTAATATTGCAGTCATAGTACACGGCACTTTTAAATCACTCAGGGATAGTTGTCATTAAACAGTCAGTTTTACCCATTTGTGTTAATCATGGCAAGTTTATTTGGTAGATTACTACCATTATYGTTGAAATGCGACCAGCGACGATTAATGTCTCATTTGCCGACTAGCAATTCAACGACTATCAATCAAGRAATTTTACGACAAAAAGTAACATCAAACATTGGGGGCAAACGACCATAATATCTGAATGTTTGAAAAAATTTCGAAATTAATTGTYGATTTGCATATCATATCATTCTTCTCCTGCTAACGACTCTAAAATCGAAAAGCGTTTTGAATTTGGATGAGGGAAACTTGGTTTATTATAAGCTATGCCTAGATAGATTTTTTCCCRCGAAAATGTGGCGACTGAACATTTGGATCGGATAAGCAAACAGTAGATTAGTTTATAAGGTTATAAATAAATCAACCAACCCACCAATCCCCCCTTACTCCTACCTACCCATAYATTCTAATTATTTCATAAATAAATGTAACATCCCTGAAACAATTTGTGGATTGTTTTTATCTATTTTTATAATGTGATGTCATAGATTAATGTCATAGGAGGCATTACTAGATATAGACATTGATGCGGTACCGATTAAGCATTACACATGTTTTCCTCGTCGTTAACTTCGTGTTAATAGAGAGTTTTAGATTTACGTTCACGGCAAACGTGAAACGTCAGTTGATCAGTAAAAAATTCTTTTAAATAGCTGAGAAGGAATCGCAAAAAAGTCCAAGTAGTAGAAAAACAAAAGAGTATTTGCGCTTGGTGAGAAGGTTTGTAAAAGGTAAAGCAAAATACACGAAAACTATGAAAACGTGGTCACGTTTGCCGTTTGCGGGGAGAAAAAAAGTCAATCTAAAACCCTCTAAATGATACAATTCTRCWAACAGTCGCCTACGTTTGAGTTGCCTACGTTTGAGTTCCTTTTAATAAGAGAAAGATTACAATTTAAAGATAGAACAGAAAACCATACATACAATTATAAGGAAAAATGCGCAAAAAAAAAAAAAAAAAAAGGAAAACATTGCTTACAAAACCATACGTACAGTTTTATTGAGGATGGCTCGCTTTGCTGACCGTGGAGTGCAGGAAATATTCAACAACTTATGCTTACAGAAAAAACTCTGCATCCACCATAAATGCGACAAAACAAGCAGATAAAATTCTTMGGGAATTTTATAAAAATTCTTCGGGAATTTCACGGTTTTTCGTCCGAGATTGAAACCCTGGACAGGATCGAACTTGWCCGACTGCTCGAATCGTTTTATGCAAATACAAGGATTAAAAAGGATGGAATATTTTACTCGAAAAACACTATGAACTCTATAGCATACTGGAGGATGCCAGTTTTAGCTCTTCAAATTCAGTTTTTACCGCTGCAATGGCTGAATTGAAAAAATTTGGCAAGTCAAAAGTCAACCAACATCCTGAAATGACCAAAGAAGACATCGAGAAACTCTAGATATCATTTGACTTGAAGACACCTAAAGGCCCACAGCAGAAATGTATGTTTGATATTTTATTTTTCCTTTTGAGAACGGGTCGAGAGAACTTGAGGCAGCAARCAAAATCAACTTTTGCCCTTGGCTATTGATTCAGAAGTTCTTTGCCAGGATCGCCAGTCTTGGCCTCACATACACCTCGAACTCTTTACGCAACCTCACTTTTGCTTATGGTGCATTTAACAATTGCAATGTAACATTTAATTTAATTTTTGTCCCTAAACCTGCAAAACATTTAATTTCAACGACAAATAAACGTAATATAGTAATTTATGTTTTCTCCACAAAGTGTTAACTTTTTAAAGTATTGTTGTGAATTTGATTGTAATAAATTGAGCTTAGCTACATTGAGCTATATATATTGTTCATTTCGTTCTCTTTGACACGTGACATGATTATAAAGCACTTATTGACTGGGACCTCGGGAAAGCAGTATGTTTTGTGCACCCTCGACCGCCGATGTTTCCCCGGCTCCGCCTCGGGAAACATTATTTGCCGAAGGCGAAGTCAATATCGGGAAATATTACCAAGACGCGAGTCTTCGAGCGGCGAGGTAAGTATTCTCCATATTTACCGAGCCTGAGTCGAATAATTGTTTTAGCATATACCAACTTGTGTACAGAGTAACTTATTTTTATATACAATAATTCAATACAAAGAAACAAACAGCAACTTTTAGTTTGCGTAACAAAGTCACGCAAAACTTTTAGGAAAACTTCTAGCAAAACTTTTAGGCCATACTTCGTTGCCTTTAGGAATGGCATTTACTTTCATGGTTTCAATTTCCTCATCGGAAATTGTAACAAAACGATTGCCGGCAGATGCCATTTTGTTGCCGACTCAATATTCCGAGATTCAGAGGTGAATATCGTACAAAATTTGCCTCCAATTAACCAATGAGCGCGCGCGTTCTTAGGAAGTACACAAGTTGGTATACACCTAATTGAAAAAACGTTGTCGGGTTCAAAAAAAGGTTATATCATCAAAGCTAAGATCGAAGAGGAGCATGGGAGGACAAAATACCGCACCCAAACAGCTCTCGGAGAATGGCTTTGGCATGTTAATCTAGGTCGACCGACTTTGCTCTACTGTGCATTTTTACATATCTATATGCAAATATAATACACATTTCGGAGTACCCAAAATCCTTTTCGGTCTTAGCTTCGATGGTATGAACTTCTCGAACCCGACAACGTTTTTTCAATTAGGTGTATGCTAAATATACTTAAAACACTCATTAATAATTCATAAGCCTATGATCCCATTGCAGCCACCATACACGTCACGTGCATGAATCTTTATACCCGATAAAGTCCTCTTCATTAGTATTTAAGTGATTTTATATGTGACTTTATATAAAGACCACTCGAATACTATGAGGATGACTTCATCAGGGATGAAGTATACATCCAAGTTTAGATGTACGCCTCGTGTTTTTATACCTGRTAAAACACTCCTACTCGTTTTTTAAACACTACTTATCATATGACCCGTATCTGCCCGGGCGCCCGCCCGTCTGATTTATCATTACTTTGAGACGTCACGAAATACTTTATCAATATTTTTGGAAGCTCAACCAACTAAATACTCTATGCATGTTGAAACCAGGTCCTCCACTCCCCCGGCCCCTTCCATGTATCTCAGTGTACCCTGCTAACAGGGTCTTTTTCTATGGAGTTTTCAAACCATTTCGCTCCATTATATAACTATGACATCTTGCTTAGTGTTAATGACGACCGTCTTAGCACTAGTGTCCATTACAAACCTACTGACTCTCATTCTTATTTACTCTACTCGTCTTCTCATCCTAAGCACACTCTTAACGCTATTCCGTTCTCGCAATTTCTTCGTCTTCGTCGTTTGTGTAGTGATGATCTTGATTTTTCTGTTAAATGTTCTGAGATGCGTTCCTTCTTTCTTAAGCGTAATTATCCTGCTCATGTTATTGATCGCGCCATTCGTAAAGTTTCTACTATTGATCGTACCACCGCTCTCACTCCTCATACTCGTCCCTCTAATGATCGCATTCCTTTCACTCTTACGTATCATCCTATTAACATTTCCATTAAACCCATTGTTAACCGCAACTTTTCTCTGCTTGACTCTGATACTCGCACTTCTGCTATTTTCAACAACCGCCCTCTCTTTTCCTATAAACGTGATCGTAATCTTCGTTCTTTCTTGGTCAAGGGAGTTCTTCCCTCTAACAAAGAACCTGGTACTTTTCGCTGTTCTCGTAAACGTTGTTATGCTTGTCCTCACATAGCCTCTCACACTTCTGTTGTCGGTCCTAAATCAACTGTTAAAATCACTGACCATTTTGTTTGTACCACTTCTAATGTT